GCTAGTTCCTGCTCCAGGTGGAGCCCGTTTCGTCAGAACTCTCCACTATGACCTGTCCGTCTTGCGTGTCCCTGCACGGCATAGCCACAACAAGGCAGCAATCCGTGAAGGCGAACATATAGCCTGTATAAATACATTGTAAACCATAGAACAAGAGCTTGAAGCACTATCAGGCAGTACATAAGCAGCAAAATTTGCTTTTGCTTTGCTTTATTTGACAGTGGACACTTTTTTAAAAAGAGCTGTCTAATCCCTCTCTGTTTTTAACATAAAAACCATTAGTGGAGGAATCATAGACTTTGAAAGTAACCATCAGTGCACAAAAATCAGCTACTCATTGCTACTCAGGTTAATTGTATTGCAATTCCATTTAAACTAAAAATATGTCTAATTTTACATCTATATCTATAAATTAATTAATAATAATTACATGCAACAAAGTCAGTTCTAACTCATGGCTTGGTTCCACTGACAATAAAACTACTTTGAATGAGGTTCTGCTTTAAAATTTTCATTTAAGTTTTGACAAACACACAACGTACATGTAGAACAGTGTGATGGGAATTGTTGTTGTTTTGCAAGTGGTAGCAAGTTTTTCTACTCCTCCACCAGAGATCCATTTATTTTAAGGTGGATGTGGAATCAATTGACTGAAATTAATTCCACATATGTAAACACCCCATACACAGTTTTTAAAATTTCAGCTTTCTGATACAGCGCTATATTAGATAGCAATAATTTTTTTAAAAAGCATTTCAATGCAGTTGCAAAAAAAGCTGGTGGTCCTCCATCCCTCAACCAATCTCTTTTCACTTCACCTGTCCCTGAGCCACTCTCACCCTCACCTCTTGCCCCCTCCTTCCCTTTCCACCCCTTTCCCTCTTGTCCTCCTCCCCCTTCTTAATACTGTTCTCCCTGCCACCGCCCACCCCATCTCAGCCAAGCTGAGCTATCTTCTTGGAAGCAAAGTCAGAAACGACTTATAGCAGCCCTAACAGCCTGTGAGATAGGAATACGAAGCTCCCGTATCTAATACAAATAACAAACTTTGCAGACCTCTCAAACCAAGGGCAGCAGGAAAAAAATTGTAATCCGTTTGCTTTGCCTATAAAACATTTTGAAGGGCCAGCCCTCTCCTCTACTGCAGAAAGAAGTACAGTACTGGGGAAAGATCCATTTAGCACTAGCAGGTGCAGCCAAATGAGCCACAGCTGCATAGGTGATCACCAGGGAATTGCTGTGCCTCATTTGCCTAAATGATTCACTCTCAGACCCATGAGACTTTCCCTTCCCCCAAAAGAATGTTTCTCTGCAGAGAGGTCGATGAAATTTACTGACTGAGGGTAAATGCTCCATCTGTGGGGGGAGCGCCGGGCAGGTGAGAATGGAGTCTTCTGTAACTCTGTTTACTTGTAGCTCAGATGAGATCTGTCTGAGAGGCAGTGTGGTATAGTGGACAAAGTGAAGGACTAGGACTCAGTAAACCTGGATTCACATCCTTGCTCAGCTGTAGGCACTACTTTGGGGTGGGATGGCACTGATAAATCCACACTTCAAGATATTTCATGTATCTTGAAACCCCATTAGAGTTGCATAATTCAGAGACAACTTGATGGTGCATAGCAGCTACCAATGAAAACAAACTAGAGCAACACTTCTACGTTCACCTTTTGTTCAAGCATCTCTTGGAGGTCTTTGCTTTTTGCTTTTATGGGAAGCAGCACCAGCGGGAGAGACTGAATTTCTTATCTGATTTGTCCTGCTTCTGCCTTTCTCCCTTCCCTTCCCTTTACTGAACTGTACATCTTTTCTGGTGCAAGTGCTGTTCTTTGCCTGCTGTCTTTTTTTTTTTTTTTTTAATGGCACGTTATACAATGCAGTTTATTGTATTAACACAGTTTTGCCAGCTTAGCATCCCTTAAATTATTACTGCTGATTAAGCATAGGCCATAATGTTGCCTGATTATGTAGCCAGATGGGTGGAACAATTGCAGCTGAACTGCTGTGTGGGCTCTACCTCTGATTGCTACTTGCACAGTATATATATATATATATATATATATAAAGTATGATGGATAAATCTTTCACTTCTTGTTTTATTAAGTCAGAGATGAATTGTTCCCTTCAGCACAGGATGCAACTAGCTGTAATTATGTCCTATTACTTCTAAGTAATCTGTCAATGTTTCTTTGTTTGATTTTTTTTATTTCTTTTTTTTTGCATGGAGCTGCATATTAACTCCTTTTTCATTAGCAGAGAGAGGCGAATGAAATAATGTACATTGAACTCAGTATTTTCAAAGCAAACCCAGTAGGGTGGAGGAAGAGATTTGCATGAATTGTTTGTAAAGGGTGGGAGTGCAAAACTACAAGACTAGCAAAAATGAAAATGACCTTTCATAATACAATGGGAGAATCTCTTTGCTTGGCTGAATGGTTGTCTGGCCTTATATAAACGCAAATATTAATGTAGCATCTTAATTGACTTTGGGTAGGGTCACTGTGTCCTTTTCGTGTTAATGTTCTTCTAATGAAGGAGGCTATTAGTAAAAACCAAATGTCACTGTGTTTACCATTGCATGTACTCCAACTGAATTAACAAAATCCAATAGGACTGTGATAACAAAGCAAAGCAAAAACATTAATGTTTGCAGGACTGGTATCTCTACATCTGATTACAAATGTTATCCAAGACATCGTACTGTACCATAGTTGTTGCTTCCCTGTTTATGCATGCTTTCAGCCTTCTGGATATAAATTAAGGTGAGCATGATGGCATAATTGACATGTCAGTGGAATATTCTCACGAACAAGGAAAGGTTATTTGCCATTTTGAAAGTGTGCTCCATCTGTGCTGCCCCAAACCTGCAAATCTGCTTTACAAAGTGTACATGAATCTATTTAGAATTACTTTAAAAGAAAGCCGAGGATTAGTATATGTGGAATTTCATAAAAATTGTAATAAATCAGTTAAAGCAGGTGATTTTAAAAAAAAGAAGGTGGTGTGTCCAGAAAACAACAGCCATTGAAGCATTCTCCCCTCCAAAAAATGCATCATCAAAAAAGGAGGTCTAAAGAAGATAAAGGTTTGAATAAATTGTACTAAATCATGCGCTAACTTGCAAGGTAGGAAATGATAGAAATAACAGCTACAATTTAAATAGAGAGGTAATAAATATAGCTTATGTTTCTTGCATTAGAAGAGCCTTTCTGTGTTTACATCAGGACTATTTGATTAATTACTACTCGAGGGTGGCAGCTTCATGTGTTATTTTTGCTTCACATGTTGTTTTTGCCCAAAAGCTTTTTTCTTACCAGTAACACCAATAAGATAAAAAAGCAATTTGTAAGAACTATAAAGATGACCTTTTCATTTATATTTTATATTCCCAACAGTGAACTGCATGATTACAGATGTGCAGTTCTGGGAAAGAGGGGGGATTTAGAGGTAGAAACAGGCTCTCCATTATTTCCCAGGTCCTCATATTCCTACTCATGATTATCTGAAATCAGTTCATGTTGCTATAGCAACAAATGCTTTGGACCTATATTGACATGTGCAAGTCCATGTCTTTTCAGGTCACATGCATATTAGCCACTGTACTGTTAAGTCAGCAGAGTGGTGCATAATGCCGCTGCGGTAAAATGTCATGCATTTTATCTGCATTTGTTAAAGTGCCCATGTTTGTGTTAAACAGGGAATCTGAATTAAATGCATATTGGGCCATTAATACATCTACCAAGATTTCTGTACTTGATAGTATTATGTGCATTTTATTATTATT